ATGCCCTTGACCGGAATTGAACCTGGGACCCTTCAGTCCGCAGGCCGGACGCTCTATCCACTGAGCCTAACCGGCCAGGGCAATTAATTCCCTTTTAATATGCACGAATTTCATGCACCGGGCTACTAGTAATAAATAAAAAGAAATGAGAGGAGATGAACAAACATTTTCCAAAGATGACATTCAGATGGCCAACAAATAAATGAAAAGATGCTCAACATCACTAGTTATCAGGGAAATAAATGCTATCAACATCACAATGAGATAATCATCCCAAATCTGTTAGAATGACTATTAAGAAAAAGAGAAGGGCCTGGCCGTTGTGGCTCTGAGGTTGAGTGTTGATTCATGAACCAGAAGGTAACAGTTCTATTCTGGTTCAGGGCACATGCCCGGGTTGCAGGTTCGATCGCCAGTAGGGGGCATGCAGGAGGCAGCCAACTGATGCTTCTCTCTCACTGTTGATGTTTCTATTTCTCTCTCTCTCTCCTTTCCTCTCTTTGAAACCAATTTTTAATAAGAAAGAAAAAGGGAAGGAATAATGTGTTGGTGAGAAATATTGTGAGATGGTTCATTATAGTGTACCTGGAGAAAGGGAACACTTGCGTACTGTTGGTGGAAATATAAGTTGGTGCAATCATTATGAAAACCAGAGTAATCCAGAAGATTGTCTATCTGTATATATAAAAGCCTAAGCAATCGAATGACCCAACAACCGGTCGCTATGATGCGCACTGACCACCAGGGGGCAGATACTCAATGCAGGAGCAGCCCCCTGCTGGGCAGTGTGCTCCCATAGCCAGCCTCCTGCAGCCGGCCAACCTCCTGCGGCCTCTCCCCCCAGCCGACCCTGATCGGGACTGGGAGAGACGGCCCCTATCAGCCCTGATCACTGGCCTGGCTAAGGGACCCCACCCGTGCACTAATTCCTGCATCGGGCCTCTAGTTTAATGTATATGAGAGGATTTCTATAGGTCACACACAAATACTATGCCATTTTATATAAGGGACTTGAACATCCACAGATTGTGGTATCCTAGGAGGTGTCCTGGAACCAATCCCCTGTGTATACGAAGGGATGATTGTATATCCACCCCATATTCACTGCTGCATTACTTACAACAGCCAAGACATGGGAACAACCTAAATGTCCATTCATGGTTAAATGGATAAAGAAAATATACACAAGTGTGCACACAAACACTAAAATATTATTCAGCCATAAAAAAGAACTAAATCTTCCCATTTGTGATAACATGGATGAACTTTGAGGGCTAAATGCTAAGTAAGATAAGTCAGAAAGAAAAAAATAAATGTTATATGCTCTCACTTATATGTTGAATCTTTAAAAAAAAAAGAATTCATAGATATAGAGAACAGATGTAGTTGAATTGGGGAGAGAGTTGGGGGGAGGGCGAAATGGATAAAGGAGGTCAAAAGGTACAAACTTCTAGTTATAAAAAATGTAAGAAAAATAATAAGTCCATTACTTATTTTGTTTCTCTATATGATGTGATTAATACTACACAAGTATCTAACTACACTATTAGAAAGTTCTCTCAAACATAATCTTGTAAAACCGAAAAAATTTTTAAGACCTGTGTTCATTATATTAATCCCATGACATTAATTTTATTTACCAAAAAAGAGAAGCATGACAAATGTCCCATTAAATTAATACACCCCAATACTTAGTTAATAAAGGCAAAGATTTATGTGGTAGTTCATTCACAACAGCTCCCTATATCTACTTTCTTTTTACCCCAAGTATACTCTTTTCAAACTTTCAGCATGCCTCCAAATTCTAATATTCCAAAATTAAAGACCAAGTGTAAATTTACCTATGCAAATCGAAAAAAAAAATGTTAAATCTCTTCCTTTTTTATACTTCCCTATCAAAGAATGGGTAATATGTTTAGTTTATTCTCAAGAATGCTTCCATCCCTTTTCTGCTAAATACCTAATGTTCAAGAGTTCCTTTTTATCCGGAATATTCATTATCTAAGACTCTTCAGTTCCAGGTTACATAGGAAAGCAAGAGCTATAAATAAATGTAGGCATTAATAAAATAACACTTATAAAACCATGTTCCAACCACCCCCACCTTCAAATCAACGTGAGTATTTATGCCTGTTTATCATGCCATTATTGTCTTACTGGCCATAGATTTGTAAACACCTGACATATAATGCAAATTGACTGTAAATTAAACTACATTAGAAAAATGTGCAAGATTTCATTAAGTTAATGAAAACATATTGGAAAAATGCTTAGAATCATATAAACAGTTTTGAACAAATGAGTTGTGTCAGTTGAAAACTGAAAAAGAAAATCAATAAAGATGACACTAGATTAACGAAAAGTTTTTTTGAACATAAAAGAATTACAGAAGGTTATTGAAAACTAAACTCAAATATTTTTGCAAAAATGACTTTCATTATAATTACAATGCAAAAGTGAACACTGATAGCAGCATTTGCCTTATGTCCTGATTTCAGAACCCAAACCTACAGAAGATGCAATTCCCTTTAGAAAACCTGGTTCCAAACTAGACATAATTTAAAAAGCTATCTTCCTTCATTCATTATATGGAATATAGGGTTAAATTATTAAAAATATTCCTTACATTAACTTAAAATCCTAAAAATAACTTTTTCTTTTCAAGATGTGAAAGAAGCAGTAAATTCCTTATGCAGGTACTGATTACTAACTGTGCTGGCAAGAGAGAACTCAAAAGAACTACAAAACCTGTTTGTAAAAATAGAAAAGACAAGACTTTCATAAAGTTAGAACAACACTATTACATTCTGCCTCACAAAGAGACAATAAAAGCCAAACTGATGAACTACATTGACCTATTATCCTACTATAGGCAGTCTACAAAAAGTTTTCACTAAGGTGCTGAACAATTGACTCACTGCAGAGCCAGATTTCATCTCATCAATAGAACATGCAAGCTTTCAATTGAAATTCTCTGTAAAAGGCAACCTTAGTGATAAATGAACCACCAGAGAAGATTCTAATACAACTTACCATTGTGTATTGCATTCAGCAACTCTGAGAAAGCTTTTAAGTAAGGAAAAAAGGACTTCAGGTTAAGATCATTCTCAAACACACAAAAGAAATACATAGGCATAGACTGAATTGGTGTAATAAAATCTAGGTAAGTCTATCATGTATCGTTTGAATCATTAAAACTGCAAGCTCATTTTTTACATGGCATAAAGTTCTAAATATTAGATTTGTCAATATATTACCTACTAAATTTAAATGTTAGATATATTATCACATTTCCTTAGTAAAAAAATACATATGCAAAATTACTTTTATTTTATTTTGTTTTGCAAAATCACTTCTAAAAAGATACTTAGTAGTATGTAATGTTTTTCTTGTAAAAAGTGAGTACCTAGATGCAATTCTATATAGGTAAATCCACCTTTGGTCACACTTAACAATATTTATTATTAAAAAAAAAACTCATTTTATCATCTAACCTGATCAAACATGCTCATATCTTGGAATTCAGTGTAATAGTCTCAACAAATATAGCAGTCTAAGCAAGAAAGCTAACAATTGCCAATATACAAATATTGAAAAATATATTAACATCAAGATTGGTGACAGAAGTCACAATTCTGCAATGGAAACACCATATTGAAGGGCAAAACAGTAATTAAAATTTGTTCACAATTTGACTGTAATATGGATACTGAACACTGGACAAAGCAGCAATTAAGATCTTTGTATGAGAAAGAAATCTATTCAATTAAGAACAAATTGCATTTTGAAAATTAAAATTTAGAGGTTAATACACTAGAAAAAGCACTAGAGTAGGAGTCAAAAAGCCTGGGCTACCAACCCAGTTCGACAACTTACTAGTTGTTGGACAAGCTCCATCATGCCGATACTGCATGGAAATTTCTGTTGGGAGGGAGGGAGAAAGGAAATCAGCAAAGAAGTTGCCAGTGATTCAAGAGTAGAAAAAGAAACAGGCCAGAAAAAAAGGAAAACATTCACCTAAAAGTCTAGCTGAGAAAGGCAAACAGAACTATGGGAACAGAAATTATAAGCTAGTAATTGGGACATGAGGGAATATGTGTGTGCGTGGGTGGGCAAAGAATGAGGAAAAGACATAAAGGCTTACAAATGAATCTGCATAACAACTGTCTAAGTATAAATGGATTCACTACTAAAAGAAAGTGTAGTTATGCAATGTAATAAACTAATGTGTTTTATATAATTCACTAGATGTGAAGTTTATCAAAAACATTTAAATGCTGTGGTCAATTAGAAATTACAATTTAAGTATGAAAATTATTTAGTTTATATACGATCAGAAACCCATTATGATTTATAGAACAGTATAAAACTCATTAAACTACATTCTTGTAACCTTTCATTTTTTGATGACACTAATGAATGAGTAAGCCATTACTCTTATTCCTTTACTCCACCCAAATGAGAAGCAGACGTTGACATGAGGCAATAAAACACTGTTAAAACCAAAGCTGCTGAGAAAACGGGAAGTAATTTCTACATGACATTGGAAAGGCAAAAACAGTTGATAAAACCAGGACTAAGGTTGTGACTCACAAACCCTGCTAATCCTGGAAACAGCTGGTATTCCACTGTGGCTAACACTGTCGGCCAAATTCTTTTAAAGGAGGGATATCTAGAAATTCTCTGGATATTACAAAACCAAAAACATGACCTCTAGAAACCATGTGTACAACAGAACCTTTCAGGCAACCATCACTCACATGTCTACCCACATATATAACTCAGAGGTCGAGCCTAATCTTGGGCACACTCTGAATAACTTGAAATAAGACAAAGCAAGATAGAGCAAGCCAGCACTCACTTTCAATGACTGTAATATTAAAAGAACTTTATATTCGATGCTATTTTTTTTTTAAATCAAACATTTAGCCCAGTTTAGTGTAAGTCCTATCCAGGGAACACTCAAAAATGAGACCTAGCAAGAGAATTTGACACTTCAATGCTTCATTAACAAATCCAATACAAGTGAGATTTAAAAGGGGAGTGAAGGCTACAGAAGAGACTGACATGGTACATTACAGAGAAATAGTAACTGGAATGGTACTGGAAAATAATCAAAGGACACTCAGAATAACCAAAGAACTTTCTCAATTGGGGGAGGGGGGGGGAATGAAATATGGCTATTCTGGCCTTAGATCTAGTACTTTTGTAGAAAGGCAGGTTATAGGCCCAAATTTTCAACTCACCGAAGACCAAAACAAAATCAGGGAATTTTCCAAGAAAGCAAAGGCCAAGGTATATCCTGGTTTTAGTAGCATCCAATTTCCTATATGGTTTTCATTTATGACCCAATATAATCAAAGTATATGAAATCATGAACCTGAGTCATTAAGATAGGTTTGAATTATTCTCAATCATTAATCCACTTCTTGGTCTACTATACTGTATTAGTAACTCTACTCTTGTGAGTTTACTGAACTAATTTTGTATTTTTGTTTGTTTACAGAATCAGCCTATTCCTAATTAAAATATTTTACCAGGGAACGACTTCTCAGTTTCATTTTATAACCTAGGTAGATATGACATAAATAGGGACATATTTAACAAGAACCCTTTCATAGTTATATGGGCTCAAGTTAAACTTTCTTAACCTTCATACTTCAGTGTAAGTCAGAACAAACTTCTCTAGAAGTGATGTTTGCATTAATAACTTATCTCTGTGAAATCTTTAAGATTTTAACACAACCAAGAGTGCCTTTCCAGAATCTTTTTTTTGTAGCATTTATCACCACTAGAGAATTCCATCACTGAAATAGATTTCAAGTATCTTAACTTAGAAAGGTATGACATTATATTAAAGAACTAGAGACAACTAAGATTTTTTAAAAACAGGAAACCGTATACGTTGAAAGACAGTAGCCAAAAGAAAAAACTTTCATGTTAAACCATCAACTCCTTATCATTTAATGAATACCAGATTTTCCTCAGAGAAAATAACAACATGTTGCTTTTTGTGAAGAAAAAATTGTTAACTTTATTTGAGGGTGAGTACACAATGGAGTATATAGATATTGTATAATAAAACTGTACACCTAAAATTTATATAATGTTATTAACCGATGTTACCTCAATAAACGTTAGCTTTCACATTAGAAAATCATAAACTCTCATAATGTTGTTGAGATAAATAAGAAAAAGGAAAAAGACAAACACAACATGTCAACTCTTTCAAATGCTGTAGTAATTTTATTATTTTACTATTTTATTTTTTCAAATGCTGTAGTAATTTTCAATGTCTCAAAAGATTTAGTGCCTACTTGCTAGGATCTCAAAAGAATATTTGTAGGAAAGAAATCAAGCAAAAGCTTAAGATAGTTTATAAACCAAAACTTACAACCTTTAGTTATCTCTTAAAACACCACACTAATTTTCCATTTTGTGTAAGTCACTGTAAAATGGTAGTCATTTACCAGGATGTGCTTTAATTTATTATAACACAAATCTTACAGTTCAAAACCCCTGATCAGATAAGGAATTTACAGATGTTGTCTGGGTTTCTATTCTGATTGGATCTGGGGTTCCTAGAATAAACATCTTGCTGTGTACATTCTATTATAATTTGAACATGTCTTAAGAGAATCACATTATAAGGATCTAATTTCTACTTCTGCTTTATATTCCAGTTGTGGTAAAACAGGAGAAATAACGACAACAGCAGCAGCAGTAGTAACTGTTCTGCCTATTTACAAGGCAGTTCCAAGTATCAAATGAGGTAGTAAAGAGTTCTTTAGAGACTGTTGGGTGCTCTAAAATATAAGATACCAGTGGTGTCCCTCGGCCTGGCCTGCGGGGATCGGGCAAAACCAGCTCTCTGATATCCCCCGAGGGGTCCTGGATTGCGAGAGGGCGCAGGCCAGGCTGAGGGATCCCACGGGTGCACAATCGGGGCCAGAGAGGGACCGCGGGAGGGTTCCAGGGCATGCTCGGCCTGTCTCGTCCAGTCCCGATCGGACGGACTCCATCTGCAAGCTAACCTACCAGTCGGAGCGTCTGCCCCCTGGTGGTCAGTGCACGTCATAACGACCGGTCGAACAGTTGGACACTTAGCATATTAGGCTTTTATTATATAGGACTAAAGGCCCAGTGCACGAAATTTGTGCACTCGGCTGGGGGGGGGGGGGGGAGGGGGGAGGGTCTCAGCCCAGCCTGTGCCCTCTTACAGTCTGGGAGACCCACGATCAATCTCCTCAAAGAGGTAGGCCCTGCCCACCCGCTGCAGCACCACCACAGGATAGCCTGGGCCTCCCTATTTGGGGCGATCGATCGCACCGGCAGAGGGAGGCCCTGCCCACCCACCACAGCCTGCCAGTTGACAGCTTGGCCTCCCTCTTTGGGGCAATAGTGGAGCCCCCCAAATGGTCGCCCCACTGGCCAATGGCCTGGGCCTCCCTCTGCAGAACGATCATGGGTGATGGCCGGGCCCCCGACCAATCGCATCGTACCCGCCTTGGCCAGCCTGGCACCGCCCACTTGCCGCCGCCCCCCCCCCCCCCAGCTGCCGGTGGGTGCCTCCCTCTGCCGGGGAACTGGGAAGGGAATCAGGGGGCCCCCGCTGGCACCCGCCTTGGTTGGCCTGGGGCCGGCAAGCAGCTCCTGCATTGAGCGTCTGCCCCCTGGTGGTCAGTGCGCTTCATAGCGACTGATTGTTCCACAGGTCATTCTGCCGTTCAGTCAATTTGCATATTAGGCTTTTATTATATAGGATTGCTATTATTATAAGCTGACAGAAGCAGTATCTTTTTTTCCCATTAACGAAATTCTTTTAATAGTAAGTTGCCAAAATTAAGTTCAGGATGTATATTCTGGAAAAAGACTACTAGCCTATTAAGTCTGATTTCTTCAGCCTGGCATTCAACTCTCCATAAACCCATTCTTTTTTTTTCTTTTCTTTTGTTTTTTAGTTAAGTTCTTACTGATTTTAGAAAGAGAGGAAGGGAGAGGGACAGAGAGATAAAAATATCGATTGGCTATCTCCTGCACGTCCCCTACTGTGGATCGAGCCCACAACCTGGGAATCAACCAATGACCTCTTGGTTCATGGGTTTATGCTCAGCCATTGAGCCACACTGGCCAGGCTAACCCCATTCATTCTAACCTATTGAATTATTACCTCCATCCCACAAACACACGCATCTCATTTCTATTGGGTTTATCTTTCAAATATACCTACACTTTCTTTTTTGATAATATTGCTGGCCTTCTTTTTCTACCTACTCTGAAGTACAATCCAAATTCCATCTTCTCCACCCTAATTACATATCCTAAACTGGCCTGTAGTACTACATGAAAAGCTTTACAAATAATTAATTTCACTTGCAACCTGTTTATAAATACTTGGAAGGCAGTTACAAAATAACAGAATACTACTAACCACATGATATATTCTCAGCAATTACAGTAGCATTCTTTTTTTTTAAAAGATGCTTAACATTTATTAAACTCAAAGTACTGTGCTAGCAGTGAGCAGACAGTGGCAAACACAACAAACACAGCCCCTAGCCTCATGGAGCTAGGATTATAATGCATATGATAGTCTAACATCATAACCAACAGCTGCTTACAAAGGTCACTTTCATCATTACTAAATTATAAACCTGTCATTACAGAAAATAAATCTTTTTTAAAGGAGACCATGAAAAACAATTCTTGATAACAAAGTAGTACACAGTATACACTTTCTCCTTCCTACTTATTTATATAGGGAGAAACTTTCCTGCTTTTACAATTACTAAATGATTTCTGAATCTAAAATTAGTCCAAAGAAATTAATATTTTTATGCTTGCAACTACCGTTGCCAAAATTAATGGCTCAAATTCTCTCATTGATCCTGTTCCTTAAAGTATGATTGTCATGTATACTAGTGTGGTTTTAGAGTCTCATCGGAAAACATCCCTTGAGCCCTGACCGGTTTGGCTCAGTGGACAGAGCAGCCGTGGGCAAACTACGGCCCGCGGGCCGGATCCGGCCCGTTTGAAATGAATAAAACTAAAAAAAAAACAAACAAACAAAAAAACAAAGACCGTACCCTTTTATGTAATGATGTTTACTTTGAATTTATATTAGTTCACACAAACACTCCATCCATGCTTTTGTTCCGGCCCTCCGGTCCAGTTTAAGAACCCATTGTGGCCCTCGAGTCAAAAAGTTTGCCCACCCCTGGGATAGAGCATTGGCCTGAGGACTGAAGGGTCCCAAGTTTGATTCCAGTCAAGGGCATGTACCTTGGTTGCGGGCACATCCCCAGTAGGGGGTGTGCAGGAAGCAGCTGATCAATGTTTCTCTCTCACTGATGTTTCTAACCCTCTCCCTCTTCCTTCCTCTCTGTAAAAAATCAATAAAATATATTTTAAAAAAAGAAAACATCCATTGAATTTTATAACTGTCTGAAATCAAGGAAAATGCATAGCTCTATGACTTAGAGCTGTGAGAATTCTGTTTCAGTTTCTTCTTCCATATGATTAATAATACTTGATGCTTGTCAAGTGCTTAAGACAGTGTGTAACATATATTAAAGTGTCAACAGCAGTTGGGAATTCTTAATTTATGCCAAGAAAGCATAATTTCTAAATATTCATGGCATTTAGCCAGCTTCTTCTAGGTAAGAACACACTTTTTAGTACTGAGTTTATCAATAAGAGAGTGCTCTGATCTAATCCTAAAACTTTATTAAAATGTATAAAATTAAAACATACAAGTTTAAGAAACAACTTAGACACAAGTTTTAAGTTTTTTAAGCACAACTTTTAAGAAAAAAATCCTGGGAAATCTAAATTTAAGTTATTTATTGTCAAGAAATAATATTTATGGGAATTTCCATCCTAAATTTCTGTTTACCTAATGGTGAGGTAAAAGGAATACAAATTCATATTTTTCTCTCACAGATGTACCACAAAATTGCCCTCTGAAAGTAATCATTGTGTAAAGAATGCTATTTCCCATGCCTAAAACCTCCCTAAATATGTAACAGGTAGGAAAATACTTTTAGGCGTGTAAATCAATTATTTTAATTCCATTAAAGATATGTATTTCAAATGGCATCTAAATGCAATTTCTGAATTTCACTAGTTATCAGACTTGACTTTTATGTATAGGAAATCAGTGAGGTTCTCTTTTCACAAAAGCAAACTTAGGCTTCATTTTCTCAGTTAAGTTATTCATCTGATTACTGTGCCTCTAGCTAAAAATAAATATATGAACTCAATTTTTTTTCTGAGTAAATTTATCTAAATTTACTTTTTGTGACAAAAGGCTAAAGCTAATTGCTAAGAAATCCTGATTTCAAATGTCAAATATGTTTCATGTTACATAAATAAAATATATATTCCAAGTGTACAATATCTTTAAATATTTTCATGAACTTATTTCTCAATGCAATTTATATATTTTTTCTGCCTTTGAAACAGTGATTCTCAGCCAAGGGAGATTTTTGCTCTCTACCCCGGGGGGATGGGGGGAGGGAGAGAGACAGTTTTTGATTGGGGTTGGGGTTCTTGGGTGCTATAGGTATCTAGAGGGTAAGGCCTAGGGATCCTGATAAATATCCTACAATGCACAGGACAACATTGCACAACAAAAATCATCCTGATCAAAATGGCAATAGTGCCAACATTGAGAAACCCTGCTCTAGAACTACCCCTAATGCTACTAATGAAACAATCCTTCCATACTTTATACTCATTTCTAAAAAACAAAACAAAAACCACTTGTCAAACAAGTCTACCACAGGCACTGAAGCTAGCTAGCTATGAGAAACAGCTAGCCTGGTGTGTGACCTTAGGCAACTTATTTTACCTGTCTAACCCTTGGTTTTATCAGCTGTAAAACAGAGGCATTAATAGTTTTTACTTCATAAAACTATTGCGAAGATTATACAATAATTATAATGTACTGAACAGACCCTGGCATAAAACAAATGGTAGTTATAATTACTGTTTTTCACATTAAACCTTTAAACGTGCTCTTTTCTTCCTTAGAATATTTCGTAAGCTTGCTTACTGAAATTATCTGCACAGCTATAAAATTCCAATGTTCTGTGTTTATAAAATATGCATGAACATTCATTAAATTATGTTTTTTCCCATACCATTTCCTACCATCCTCTCCATCAACTAATAGAACTGATAAAATCCATAATAGTTTATTTTAGCCAAAATTTCCTCATTTCTACAATCAGACATCTAAAACCAAAAGAAGGATGAGCTTTACAAGCAACCATTTAAAATCATTTACCTGAAATTCAAGATACAATTTAAAATATAAATGTGGACATTTAACGAATATCTAAAGTATAAAGTTTGTGTAAAAACATGAATCTTAAAAAAATTTTTAATTGAAAATAATAGTCATTTATTTCTCCCTAAATATGTAACAGGTAGAAAAACTGTTAAAGAAGCATCCCAATGGTGTGAATAACAACATATATAAATGCATTCATACTTTAGTAAAGATAATGGTAAAAAATGTTAAACATACTGGAAAACAAAAAGAATATAAATCATTTCATATATTTCCTGAAAACAAAGAGAATATAAATCATTTCATATATTTCCTGCTAAAATCCATAAATTAAAATCATTTATCCCTGATTGAAAAATATTCCAGATGGAGCAATTCAAGTAGAATTTGTGTGAGGAATTGTTGAGAAATGAAGGCTAAAATTTAGAGAAAGAAAGCTCAAAAGCAAATGCCAATCAAAAATAGAGTGCAAAAACTGTCACACTGCAAATGCAAATTCTGAGTTGGCTTTTTAAAAAAAATGTTTTCACTGATTTGAGAAGGGGGAGACCATGGATGTCAGAGAGAAGCATCGATCTGCAGCCTTCCGCACCACCACCCCTCCCACCAAGGATTGAGCCACAGGTGCCTTGACCGGGAATTTAACCACGACCTTTGGGTGCATGGGACAATGTTCAACCAACTGAGCTTCACCGGCTGAGTTGGTTTTAAAAACTCTGTGCAAGTGAAGCAAAAACAAAAATGGGAATTAATCCTAGGTGTTTCATAAAAAATAACCAATAAACTATTTAGCCTATACTTAATTAAGTAATGTCAGATTAGTGCCAAATGTCTTTTCCAAACACCAAATTGTCTAAGATCATAACACATTTTTTCATGAAGATAATCAAATGTCACTTAGCAACTCAAGTATGATCATAACAATAGTTTAAAATGAATTTACTTTTTGGGGTAATGAAAGAGTGATGGTGGTGGAAGTAAGGGAGAAAAACAATGGGCAAATCCCTACCTGAACCAACTGGAGATGAGCCAACACTAAGACTTTGTAAACTTCCATTCCTGAGCAATGTAGGAGATTTCTGAAGACTAGAGCTTGTTATACTTCCTGCAGCTGATGCTACAGATGATGTTGGTGAAGCAGAAGAAACTGAGAGATGAGAAACATTCTCTTGATTTTTGTTTCCTTTGGGTCTACCAGGCCCATGCTTACTTTGTTTATTTCCTTTTCTTTTCTTTTCCTTTACAGTTTCTTCTTCTATGCCAGAAGTTTGAGCCCGCTTATATCCTGCTGTAGGAAGGCTGGAATTACCCAAATCTCCAGGTGAATTTTCAAAGTTTTTAGGCTGTGAAATAACAGCCGAGGTCGAAGGGAGACCAATTATGGAACTAAAACTATTTACCCCCCCTTCCTGGCTTCCAGACTCTCCTTTATGTACATCTTTGGTTGATGATGACTGTTGGGAGTGAGTATAACTGTCATTACGTAGATCTGAGTCTGTAAAGCTCAAGAAATCCTGGGGAGACTGTACTGAACTTCCCGAAGATGATTTTACACTGCCTGGAGTTCCTGAAAAACTACCTGTAGTTAAAAAAAAAAAAGGGCGGGGGGGATAGGAAAAGAAAAAATTGGATGCAAAAGTTCCCATGAGCAATAGAAATGAAACAATCATCAAAAAGAGAGGGTAAAAAAAACCACTATAAAACTTAGGACATCACTTATGTAACAAAGGTAGATTTTTAAAAGGGTTATTACTGAAAACAAGATTATCTATAAAATTATCTTTAAAAATACTTGTCATTTTATAGTCATTAAATTGAATTTTAAGCTATTACTTATACAACTACCAAGATATAAGTTGTGCTTTATTTAACCTACCTTTTACCATGGCAGCAATCCTCAATTCTTCCCCAACTATGTGTATACTTGAGGAAGAACTGATGAATAGCAAAGTCTCAAGGAGACTTTGATAAGACTATAAATGGACTCTGAATAGCTAAAGGAACTTCCTCTTTTTTAATTAGTAAAGATATGATTATAAATGTTTCCAACATACAAGAACCAAAAAACGTTTGTTAGGTTATAAGTTCTGAGTTTTAACTTCTAGATAATGTTGGTGAATGTTGTCATTTAGTTAAAGCTATCCCACCAAAACTCAGATTTAATCAAATAATAATAATCACATAGAACCTAATCTATATACCTTACATTCTCCCAGTCTACTTCCCATGGAGCTGCATAAAGAAAAGAAACCAGCCACTGACAATCTGCTATTGTTTTTCTGAAAGTAGTCATTGGAAAGGCTCCTCTCATGAATCTCTTTCACAACTGCTTATTCTTCCCATACTCTTTCAGCGGTTCTCAACCTGTGGGTTGTGACCCCTGAAAATACATCCTGCATATCAGATATTTACATTACGATTCCTAACAGTAGCAAAATTACAGTTATGAAGTAGCAACGAAAATAATTTTACAGTTGGGAGTCACCACAACATGAGGAACTGTATTAACCCTTTGCACTCCGCTGTCCCCTCTCAGGGGACATCGGAATTCTAGCATATCACTCGGATGTCCCCTCTCAGGGGACATTGCAGTTTATTAGTGATTACGGGGAATTGAGTTATTTCAACGCAACTTTTTGAGACATGCATGTTTCCCTGAAGTTTTATCTTGAAATGGCACAAGAAATTAAATCAAAATATCGTAAAATTACTAAGATATATACAAGAAATGTCAGCGGGTTTTGTGTCGGTTTAAACAATAAACTACATATTCCCGATGTGGGACAAAGAAAACGGGACTGCATTGTGTGTTCTAACAGGAAAACACCTGGTGGCAGGCGTCAAACCACTTACTGCTGTCAAACATGCACTAATCAGCCTGCAATGCATATTGGGGAGTGTTACAAAACTTATCATACTGTACAAAATTATAAACAATAAAATATTGGGGTTTTTTTTGCAAATATACATTCCTCGATGTCACCCAATTCATATAAGTCCAATATCATTATAATACGTTACTTGGTTTCAAAATTATACTAAATAATACGAGGGTCTGTAAATGCACGTTTCCGCCGCAAAGTAGCGTCGAGTAGCTGGTAGCCAATGTCCAGAATGGTTCGGAGTGCAAAGGGTTAAAGGGTCACGGCATTAGGAAGGTTGAGAACCACTGCTTTAGATAAAGAACATTCGTAGTCCCACACACCATTACAAGCTATAAGAGCCTCGGGTTCTTATTAACCTGACAGAAAAATAATATTGTTGAGATGAAACAACAGTTTCGTTCATCATCCCATGTCACCAAACACACTTGCCAAATAAAATACCCAGACTTAGTTGTGATCACATGTTTCATAAAACTAAACTCTGTCATATTTTAACTAATGGATTTAGAAACAAAAGCTCAAAATAAAGTGTTTATTAGAGTAGGAAGGAAATTCCAAGCTAAGTGTTAAATTTTATTGCAGAGCACATTCATAAGTAATCACACATAAATCCACCTAAATATTTACAGATATATTTTTTCTCGCGCACAAAAATTTATTTTTAAAGTATCAAGGTTTTGATTTTTAAATTTTAGCTCTTCTGAAATGGCTTATTTTAAAAGAACATTAATAGTTTAAAATTTAACTCTTTCAAGACAGTATCTGTTTTATGCATTTATAAAAGTATTTGTTCCTATGTTAAGCATTTTCCTATGTTAAGCATGTCCATATAGAAAAGCATACATATTAAGAAGCTATCTACAGTTCATCAATGATTTGCTACTTAATTAGAAACTATAAAGAAGTTCTTTATTATCCATTCTGATCTGTCTTCATCTATCTTTTTTCTACACATTTTTGTTTTTACAGCTGGTGTTAAAAGCTTACTACACTATAGCAAATACTTTAAAATATTTAGTATACCCAATACTTTAAATGCATGTTTTCTAATATTCACATACTAACTGCAATGAAAAAAAATAAAACCAATTATTCTAAATATCCTATCTTTATATTTCAACTCTTAAAACTCTTACAGCCTATTACCTCAGATATAAAAACATAACATATTCGCTACCATATCTTAACAGAGGCGGGAAAACACTCAATGTTATGAAACTTAAGAAAATAAGAGATTTCTTTTCTAAATGGATTGTACCTCAAAGACATTAAAAACTCAACAATACAATTTTAACAGTAGAAAATAAGGTCTTAATTGTAGAGAACAGGTGACTGACTTCTGCTAATATCACATTTAAAATGTGAATGAAGTTACATTAAAATTAAATTATTTTCCATAGTGGCATAAAAATAAAAAATATATAAACTTATTAAAATAAAACAGCAAATTTGGCATTTTATTTCTTTTCTATTTGTCTATTTTTTTTTGTATTGTAAGGCAAACAAAATATATATGGGACTTGAAGATCTTGAAGCCCAAAATAACTATTAGTTTAAAATATATATAGTTTTTAATAAAGTCTGCCAACTAAGCAATCTCTCTACATATATAAATTATATTTTGGTACATTTTAGATACAATTTTTATTATTATCAAAACCTTGAATGGAGTAAAGAAAAGGGCTATTTCCTCCTCCTCCCCTCACTTACTCCTAGGGAACAACGGGGAGCATTTACTGTATACTTTACTAATATATTTATCTCAAGCAGTTTTAACATTTCTCAAAAAAGTTATGTTCATGCTAAAAATTATACAAAGTTAACACTTAGAACACAGGGCTAATGTAGTTTAAAGTTTAGATGCATTACTCTGTTCTCCATAAGAGGGTTGCCATGTAAAACTCAACATGCCCAGTTAATTTTAAATTTCAGTTAAACAACAAATTATTTTTCAACTGGGCATGCTGTAAATATAGCAGCCTTGCCAAAAGATATGTAGGCTTAGCAAAATTCTACTTTAAACATCAAGCTTTAAAATAAATGCCTTCATAATCAACAACTACTATTTCCCAAGAACTATTTAGATCCCTTAAAAAATTACCCAGCATTTGTTTACTTACTAAAAATATATCTTAACTATTTTAGTATATAATTAGGAAAGGTAAATAAAAACAATTTATAAAAAATAACTGGTCTATAGAGCAGAAAGGAAAACTCAAGCTTTTGTTTTTTCCTCCCCAGACTTAAAAACTTTACTTCATATCTATTTAAACATTAAAATTACAGTTCAACTTTGGAAGGACATGTCACAACATAAAAAGAAAGCAAAAGTCCCAAAAACATTTAAACAAGGAACACTAGTTTGGGAAGTAATCTTACTACAGCAACTAATTATAAAATAATCTCCAATGACCCATTAGTTATAAATAAAAAATAAATTATTTTATAAAACTTAACTACTATTGATCATAAGAACAAATATTTTAACTAAAACATCATAATTTATACCTTGCTGGAAAGGACTAGCAGCTGACACAGCCGTTCCTGGATTTCTTCCACCAGGCTTTCTTCCCCTTTGACCTGAGCTGTGAGTTGAAGATTTCTTCCCTTTGCCCTCCGACCCTCTAGCCTCTGAAACATCTTTTCCACTAGTTGTATGCGCAGAAACTTCCTGGAAATTTGCATTTGTAAATCGTGCTGCAGTATCTTCCAAGCGCTTCAATGATCCAGATATAGAGTTGCTGCTAGTGCTCGTATAAGTCTAACATTTTCATTGGGAAAGGAAGTAAAAGGAAAAAAATTATTATAATTTCACTATAGATAAAAAAAGATGGGACATTAACAATAACAAATAATTATTGGACTGGTAAGATAAACATAGGCAAGTTTCTGTTATAAAAATAAGTCAGTCCACCTAAGCAAATTATGTAAAAACAGCTATTTTAGAGTCTTTTATAAATATTATTTTTAAAAATGTAAATGACTTATATTATGGCTGTTTGAGCATCAAATTGCAGCAATCAGTAAAAGTACATATTAGACATTTTTATTCAGTGACACATAGTAAATAATATTGACGGTATTTGTTTCTCAAGCTACAGCATTCTCAACAAGAACATACTACTTCTTACACATGAAATTAAAATCAGCTTTATTGTTCAGCACAGGAAGGCAACAATTAGAAATGAGGTGCTACAAAGTGATTAGAGGAATATATCCATGAGATTATAAGGCTAGAGCTAGCACAGGCTAGACCAAGAATTTTAAAATTCAGGGGAAGGCTACTTTTCAAAAAGAAAGATTAAAGCCTTTGAAACAGAAATTATTTATTCCAAGTACTAAGGTGAGAAAACAGTTATATTTTGCAGTTAAGATTTTTAAAGCTTAAAAGTATTATTATACCCTAAAATTTATTCCCAATCATCCCGTTGATCTAGATATGTTAGGGAAAAGAGTAAAATAAAGATTTGCTTAAACAATTAGTTTCCACTTTTTAATAATCATTTTAATACAAGGCGTGTGGAAATAACAGCAAACTGAATGACTATGAAAATGGGAAAATGTATTATACCTGATGCACATTTTGGGAAATAATGGGTAAATCTATTAAACCAAATGTTACATGTTTCAAAATGAAAGATGTGTAAGGTCCATAGGGTCAGGGATTTTTGCTGCTGTTAAATTCACTAAGTTCCTAGAATATAACCAGTCCTAAATTTCTGTTGAATAAATAAATTATTAAATATTTTTCTAATACATGTATCTGAAATCTCTGATGCAATACAAATGAAAAATCTAAAAACACACAAAACTGAAATTTCCCACATATAACCACCACTCAATACAAATGTCACATAAATCTGAAAAATGAGAAAGTGACAATAAAATCGAATTTCAAAATAGTTGGCATTTTTAGTAAAATCAATGTTCAGAAAAAAATAAGAGAATACTTCAAATGTTTGAAAAACGAAATATTCCCCATTACTACTTTTCTGCTATCACTTCCTGGTGCTTCCCCACCCCACATCATTTCACTGCTGTAACAGATTTTCATCATCAAATACGAGACATTACCTCATAAAAATAAACTATAATCAGTATTTTAGCAAACTATAATCCATAAATAAGAACAAAGAGTTCAATGTAAATTTCAGAAGAAAACACTCTCATTTAACAATGGTTAAACTTCACAGATTATTTCAGAAATATGAATGCATGCTGGGCAGATCACTTAGGAAACCACCCACTTCACTTCTTAAATAATTTTCCCAAGTAACGAAAGTTATTCCTGAGGTTCTCCATGCTACTCACATCTGACCCTAGTAAAGTTCAAAGTCATCTAAACAAAACAGTATTTCTTTATTCTTGTTTGTTACTTTCTCCATGCATTAAATAAGGAAAGGAGAGAAAACGGGGTGGAATAGCAAAATCAATATATTATTTGCTTCCATCTAGCAATCGAAATTAGGATTGGTAAACTTTCCCATTCATTTACCAGAATATCCTTGTTTACCCCTGGAGTAAATATTTATGCCCATAAATCTAATGAAAACATGACTTTTAGAAGAAATGGTATTACAAAGAAAGCAATGAATAAAAAGCAAATTTTAGTGGCAAAAGTCCTATTAAATAAAACGACATTTTTAAAATTTATTTTTCAATTACAGTTGATATACAATATTATATTAGTTTCATGAGTACAACGTAGTGATTAGATAGTACTTATTATATACCTTATGACACAACATTTTATTTAAAAAAACTTTTAGCCTGACAAGTGTGGCTCTGTGGTTGAGCGTCAATCTATGAACCAGGGACATGCCAGGGGGTTGTGGACTCAATCCCCAGTGGGGGGGCATGCAGAAGGCAGCCGATCAATGATTCTCTTTCATCATTTAAGTTTCTATCTCTCTCTCCCTCTCTGAAATCAATAAAAATATTTTTAAATAACAAATTTAAAACATTTTAAATTTCAAATGGTATCACAAATTTCTTTTTAATCCTTACCGAAGGATGTTTTTTAATGCCTTTTTAGAGAGAGAGAAAGGGAGAGAGGGAAGGAGAGACAGACAGACAGACAAAGAAAGAAACATGGATGTGAGAGAGAAACACTGATGGGTTGCCTCTCGTACTTGCCCAACCAGGGATGGAACATGCAACTTGCGTATGTGCCCTGACCAAGAATGGAACCCACAACCTTTTGGTGAATGGGGCGATGCTCCAACCAACTGACCCACCCTGCAAGAACTATCAAAGATTTCTTAAGCAAAACCAAAACAAAACAAAAAACCTTTAACATGGGAAAAATCTTAAATGATTTCTACTAAGTGAAAGAAACAAATCTGAAAGGGCTACATACAGTATAATTCCAATTATGTGATATTCTAGAAAAGGCAAAACTAGGGAGACAGTAAAAAGATCAGTGGTTCTCTTTTGTCTTGGTGGCAGAAGCAAGATGACGAAGGGGACAGCATTACTGGGCAAGCACCGCAACAAGAGGCACGCGCTGTGCTGCAGCGTCTGCTGCGGCTTAAAGGCCTACCACCTTCAGAAGTCCACCTGGAGCAAGTGCGGCTACCCGCCAAGCGCAAGAGGAAGTATAACTGGCCCAGCTAGTGTGGCTCAGTGGTAAAGCGTTGATCTATGAACCTGGAGGTCATGATTTGATTCCCGGTCAGGGCACATGCCCGGGTTTCAGGCTTAATCCCCAGTAGGGGGCGTGCAGGAGGCAGCTGATCAATGATTCTCTCTCATCATTGATGTTTCTATCTCTACCTCTCCCTTCTCTCTGAAATCAATAAAAACTTATTAGCCAAAACCGGTTTGGCTCAGTGGATAGAGCGTCGGCCTGCGGACTGAAGGGTCCCAGGTTCGATTCCGGTCAAGGGCATGTACCTGGGTTGCGGGCACATTCCCAGTAGGAGATGTGCAGGAGGCAGCTGGTTGATGTTTCTCTCTCATCGATGTTTCTAACTCTCTATCTCTCTCCCTTCCTCTCTGTAAAAAAATCAATAAAATATATTTAAAAAAAAAAACTTATTAAAAAAACAACAACCTTTGGCTGAGGAGTCTAACAGTTAAAAAAGCATACTTAATTAAAAGGAAAAAAAAGGCTATATAAGTTTTACTCAAAGAAAGACCTCTACCTTAACTCCATGTTTATAGGTTAACTTAGTATCTATACTAATAAAAGCCTATGTGGTTGTCATGCCCTCACGCCGTGATGCCCTGACGCTGTAACAATCCATCACCAGGAAGCTGCATGCGCAGCAGGGCATGTACAGGTGGGCAGGGACTTGACACTGCATGTGCAGCGTGGAGGCGGGTCCCGCAGCTCTGCACAGCGACACCGGGAGTCCCACGGCTCCATGCAGCGCGGAGGCGGGTCCCAGTGGCTCCACACGGTGATGCCGGGGGTCCTGGTGGCTCTGCGCAGAGCCGCAGAGGCAAGACCCCCGGCTCTGGCCTACCTCTTTGGGGCAATCCATAGAGGAGCCCCGGATGCGTGGGCAGGGCCTACCTCTTTGGGGAGATCGGTAGCAGGGCTCCTGCACTGTGAGAGGGCACAGGCCGGGCTGGGGAACCCCCCACCCCCAAGTGCACAAATTTTGTGCACTGGGCCTCTACTTTATTCCATAATATGCTTTTAATAATATGACACTGTGTAATGCCATTATAAACACACTAGAGGCCCGATGCACAAAATTCATGCAAGGGCCTTGGCCCTCGAAGCCCTGGCTTCATTTGTAAGGTCTTCGAGTCTAATTAGCTTATTACGCTTTTATTATTATAGATAACCAACTCAAAATCAAGAAGGTGTAGAAAGAAATAAAAGGAGATGGTAGTGGGGTAAGTCTAAAAGAGACACAATAAGCAAGCCTAACATCACAAATCTGTTGTTTCCTCAGTTTTACAACCTAAATATTCATAATATGGGCATCTCACTGCTCTGAAAGCAACTGTAGTGCTTAAAAACACACATTTTTTCATGTAAATTGGCCCATAAAATGCAAACTAACTATTTCAGCTGTTATTGAACTAAATAAAATATGGCTTTTTCTTTTTCTTTTCCACTGGAAATAAAACTGGATATCTGGTCATATTGATTCTCTAAAGAAGTGCATAAAGCCCTGGCCGATGTGCTCAGTGGTTAGTGTGTTAGCCGGAGCATGGAAGGGTTTCAGGTTCAATTCCTGGCCCTCCATGCAGGAGAAGGCCAATCCATGTGTCTCTTTCACATTGATGTTTTGTATTTCTTTCTTTTTCTCCCTCTCACTCTCGCTCTCCCTCTCCCTCCCCCTCACTCCCTTCCACTTTCTCAAAGGATCAATGGAAGAAATGTCCTCAGGTGAGGATTAATACACAAAAAAAAGAAGTGCATAAATACTTTGGTCTACATTGAAATTTACAAGCAACTTAATGAATTCTTTAAAATAGACATTTAGAATATGAATCGTTTTTGTTTTATGGCTAACTACAATTATTAGTCCTCAAGATAAGATTCAATACCGATATACTATTAATTAGAAACAAAAAAATGTTTCCTACCTCAAACAAAAATTTTAAATTACACTCAAAATTCAACAGCGATTCTGTAATAGGTAACCAAAGAAATAGCAGTTTGTTTACTATGCCCTTACAGTACTCTACAAGGCTCTGTAATCATATTTGGGAGAAGAAAACAGAGGGAAGAGCAACAACCATGATGAAACATAATGCTGGGTTTATAAAATGATGTCTATTCAAGTGTCTCATAAAGGC